TGAGAACCTCCGCCTTTTTGAAGTCGGTTAAAAAACTAAATACTTGCTGTTTATGATGCAATCCTGACTATTATCTATGCACGAGCGAGAAATAATAAAATCACGTCTCGTATTCATTAATAGATACATATTTAAAAGCGTATTCGCATGCAACGTCGTGTCTCTTTTATAAATACAGTGTATGCTAACTTATTACGTTATCTAGAAGTGGTATTTAAGAATAAATGTATGTAAACTAATATTGCAGTGGCAGTGGAGGAATATCCACTACTCGATATCGTTTCGTGGGTGTAAGAAGCGATAGAGAGAAACTAGCAGATAGGCAGTAGCATCTTTTTTTTTTTTTTTTTTTTTTTTATAGAATAGGGTGACAAACGAGCACACAGTCCACCTGATGGTAAGTGGTTGCTGCGGCCCATAGACATCTACATCTATCCTCCATTAAAAATCAAAATGCAGATGCGTTGTCACCCGTGAGGACTGAGATGGAATGCCTCGTTTCCAGTAAAAAGGGTCTCCGGTTCTCTACACTCACCATACGAAATACAGCAGCATTAAGCTACTATTTCACGCTGGTATTCTGTGAGAGCGTGGTCCTTCCCCGGTCGAGCCGACCCATTCGTGCTACAACTATACTACTAATATAACTGCAGCATGGCTCTACCACGTAAAAACATCTGCATCTTCCTAATAACGACTAAAAATAAAAAAATGCAGTTGCCATCCCGCTTTCTAATCGTGGCAACTATGGCAAATAAAAAAGTGGTATAGTGGTATGGTTAAAACTATCTTGTTACCCTAAAATTCATCATCATCATCATCATCGCAGCCCTTCACAAGTCCACTGCTGAACATAGGCCTCCCCCAAGTAATGCCACAAAGCACGGTCCTGAGCCACCTGCATCCATCGACTTCCTGCATATCTTACCAGGTCGTCACTCCATCTAGTGGGGGGTCGCCCTACACTACGCCTACCGGTACGAGGCTGCCACTCGAGAACCTTTCTTCCCCATCGGTTATCGGTTCTTCGAGCTATATGGCCGGCCCATTGCCACTTCAGCTTACTAATCCGTTGGGCTATGTCGGTCAATCTGGTTTTACTGCGGATATCCTCATTTCTGAGTCTATCACGCAGAGAAACTCCGAGCATAGCCCTCTCCATAGCTCGCTGAGCGACCTTGAGCGTCCTCATACGGCCAGCAGTGAAGGACCACGTCTCTGATCCGTAAGTCATCACTGGCAACACGCACTGGTTGTACACTTTAGTTTTCAGAGATTGAGGTATACCTGACGAGAAGATATGTCGTAATTTCCCGAACGCTGCCCAGCCGAGTTGAATCCGTCGATTGACCTCTCGGTCGAAGTTGGACTTACCTAGTCGGACTATTTGTCCCAGGTAAACGTACTCGTCAACAACTTCGAGCATAGTGCTCCCAACAACTACCGGCATAGGTGTGACATGGACATTAAACATAATCTTTGTTTTGTCCATGTTCATCTTAAGACCTATCCGTTGGGAGGCACTATTGAGGTCATTGAGCATAGTGCTTAAGTCCTCCAGCGATTCTGCCATAAGGACTATATCGTCGGCAAATCGAAGGTGAGTGATGTACTCGCCATTGATGTTAATACCGTATCCTTTCCAGTCCAGTAGCTTGAAAACGTCTTCCAAAGCAGCGGTGAAGAGTTTCGGGGATATAACGTCACCCTGTCTTACACCTCTCTGCAGTTGGATAGGTTTCGAGCTCTGGTTCTGTACTCGGATAGCCATCGTAGCCCTACTGTACAAACACTTCAGCACTTCGATATACCGACAGTCAACTTGGCACCGCTGAAGGGACTGCAGCACCGCCCAAATTTCGACGGAATCAAAGGCTTTCTCATAGTCCACATACGCCAGGCAAAGTGGCAAATTGTACTCTTCAGTATTCTGTACAATCTGCCGCAGGGTATGTATGTGGTCTATGGTACTGAAGCCTTTTCGGAAACCGGCTTGTTCGGGAGGCTGGAAGTCGTCGAGTCTGCGTGCGAGACGATTCGTAATGACTCTCGAAAACAGCACGTAGACGCGGCTCAGAAGGGAAATCGGTCTGTAGTTCTTCAAGAGAGCGTTGTCGCCTTTCTTAAAGAACAAGACCACCGCACTTCTGCTCCACGCCTCCGGAGTAGTGCTACCATGGAGGACGGAATTGAAGAGCTTCTGAAGGACTTCAAGTACCGGTGTTCCACCCGCTTTCAGAAGCTCCGCTGTAATTCCATCCTCGCCTGGGGCCCTGCCGTTTTTAAGGTGCTGGAGAGCCATTCTAATCTCGCTTAGACTGACGTCCGGGATATCATCGGAATAGTGTCGGATAAGACTTGCTCTTGGATCGTTACTCACACTTGCGTGTGGCTCCAACGATGATGTGTACAGCTGCCCATAGAACCTCTCAATCTCACTCAAAATCTCAGGTGTCCCGGAAACGATGCTGCCACACTCAGTCTTCAGCCTTGACAGTTGGCTCTTTCTGGCAGACAGATCTCTGGCAAAGACTTTGGAGCCCTGGTTCCGCTCGATCGCTTCTTTAATACGAGCAGTATTAAAGTTGCGTAAGTCTCGCCGCATGCATTTGGAGATCTGTCTGTTCAGTTGCCTGTATGCTGTCAAATCTGTTGACGATTGCAGCCTCATCTCCCGTCTAACAGCCATGAGATTAAGAGTGTGATCGGAGAGTTTTTGTGTTCTTCTGCGGCGGGTCTTGCAGAACTTAGCTCCGACCGCATGGACAGTTTCCACGAGCTTGTCATTCATATCGTCCACTGCATTGCAATCTTGTAGGCACTGAAAGCGGTTGTGTAACTCGAGCTGAAAGTTTTCGGGATTTTGGATCAGAGCACGAGGGGGGACGGAGCGTTGACTTCATTAGACGAGACCTCTCCAACTTAACGTTTAGGTTCAGTGTGCCTCTAACCATTCGGTGATCGCTGCCAGTTTTCACCCTTGCGATCACTGAGACATCACTGAACAGTTGGCGTCTGGTCGTCATAATGAAGTCAATCTCATTTTTTGTCGAACCGTCGGGGCTCGACCAGGTCCACTTCCTGTGGGGCCGCTTCTGGAAGAAAGAGTTCATCATAAAGAGTCCCTCTTTCTCCATAAAGTCGGCCAGCTGCTGGCCCCTTCGGTTCCGTTGCCCTACTCCAAATTTCCCTAACTTCAGCTCACCGCTTTCTCTTGTGCCTAGTTTTGCGTTGAAGTCTCCCATCAACACCGTGTAGTGGGTTTTGGAGGAATGTATGGCTTTGGAAATATCCTCATACATTTCCTCCACCTCCTCATCGGAATGTGCCGACGTTGGTGCGTAAACCTGTATGACCTTCAGCGAATACCGTTTGGTGATTCTGAGTATCAGGTACGCGACCCTCGTCGACACACTCTCAATCTGTACAACGTTGTTGACGAGAGACTTGTGGACGATAAATCCGACACCTCCTTGGGACAGATGGTCGCCCTCCCGGTGATAGAACAAGTTGCCGGATTCGAGAATCACCGTGTCCTCCCCTCTCTTCGGACCTCGGATAATCCTATAATACTCCAGCGCAACTTGTCTATCTCTTCTTCCAGCTCCAGGATCTTCTCGTCAGTCCTCAGTGTGCGTGCGTTAAATGTTGCCAGGTCGAGTCGTCGTAGGTGGCAACCGAACCTCCACCGGAGATTCTTAGCACCCCCTGCCCCGCCGTTACCATGGTCGCCACCGTAGCCAGGAATAGCGGGGCCGCCGGGGACTGGGGGCCGTCTATTTGTGTAATTGTTCATGGGGGGGTATATTGCCATAGTTGCCACGCTTGGCGAGCGGGTTGGCAACCGCAGTTTTTTTTGTCGTACAGTTGCTGTTATCAGGAAGATGCTGCTGCCCATCTCCTGCCTGTCTCCCTCTGTCGCCTCTTACGACACCCACGGGAAGATATGGGGTAGTGGATATTCTTAACCGCCACTACACGGCCACCGGCAACCCTAAAATTACTTATCATTATTTCGTAAAATTTACTTTAACAAGATGAATAAAAATAAACGGTGACACCATGATATCTATACGTGGTAGATATTTATACTTGGTGGAGCCACGCTGCAGCTATATTATGGTTGTAACATGAATGGGTCGGCTTCATTGGGAAAGGACCACGCTCTTACAGAATACCAGCTTAATGCTGCTGTGTTTCGTATGTTGAGTGTAGAACCGGAGACCCGTTTTACTGGAATCGAGGCATTCCATCTTAGTTCTCAAGGGTGACAACGCACCTGCATTTTGATACTTAATCGAGGTTAAATGTACATAGACGTAATGGTCGTAAAGTATTGTCTATGGGCCACAGCATTCACTTACCATTAGGTGGACTGTGTGCTCGTTTATCACCCTTATCCTATAAAAAAATGATTTATCACATCTAGTTATACCATACCCAGTCTACAGTCACCCCTGCACTATGGCATAAAGAAAATCATCATCATCATTACAGCCGTTCACAAGTCCACTGCTGAACATAGGTCTTCGACAATGAATGCCACAGAGCACGGTCATGAGTCACCTGCCATCGTCTTTTTGTATGTTTTACCAGGTCTTCACTATATCTGAAGGGGCCGCCCTTCAGATATATAGTTAAACGTATGGTTGTAATGAAATATCCTTTATGTACATATATGTGTATTTTAATAAATTTGAAATATATTTATTGAGAATAATATTGTTTTTCACCACATCAATATTCCGTTGTCAGCATGTATGACGAGAGATATTATAAGTTAACTTTATTTTTAGTACTTGCTTGGTTTGGAGTAAGCACCAGCGAAGACTGGAATTACGTTTTTTTTATCCACAATCATAAAGAAGTATGGCCTGTATGCAGTCACAGTAAATGGGTGTATGTGTGTGTGGCGACTCGTAAGCGAAAATTCCGCTTTCGATACTGCACTTGCTACCATGCCCTCTTCTGTCGCTTCTACGTCAGCTTTCTGTGCAAGGTTAGAAATAAATGAAGGACTGTCCTTCTTGCAACTGGGCTTGCTTATTGTCGAATATTGTTTTCAATCCCACATCAATGAAAAGTTGTTTTAGATTATTTAGGTCTGATGAAATCTTGAATCGAGGTAACTTTACCGTAACTTCCGGACGTTCTTGTTCTTTAAAATATGTGAATAAAGATTTTAGACTGATTTCTTTTAGAGAATTTACGACATTGCTCAGTTTGACGCCTTCATCAGGCAAGAATAGTAACATAGAAAATCTGTCGTCACTATAGGGCAGGTCTAAAATTGTGATATTTATTTTATCCATGTATTTGAAATTGAAGTTATCGGTTATAGACATAAGGTTTACATCACCTAATTTGTTGTTCATATTGTCATAAAACGAATTTTTTTTTGTCTCATGGATGGGGAATGGAATTTTCCACATTCCTTTAAATCGTAAAGCATCTATAATCATTAGCGCCACATTCTCCAAATCGCTTGCGAGTACTGTTTTATGTATAGCTCCATTCGTTGGTGTTTTTACAATATTATTTATATAAGCTGCAACGTAATCATAATTATCAAATGATACTTGTTTTACTTCACTTACGCCTGCCTTCTTACTTTTATTTTTGAACACTTCTTTTACCGCTACTTTTTCACCAACGAATGTAGCTGAAGTTCCTTCTAGCGTTGTATTGGTAGACGGAGAGTAGATGCTTTTCGTTATTTCGAAGTATTCCTTATTGAAACATTTGTGTGGATTCAACCTTAAAATAGTGTTGAGTTCTTCTAAAGAGTTGTTGGCAGCACCGAGGGAAGTATAGGCAAGTAGTGTCCAAGGTGAGAGGGTTGATGCCACGAAATGATAGTCAGTTTCTTGCGCGATTCTTCTCACCAAGTCTATGGAGAACTCGTATACTGATTTGGAGAAGAGGGGTTCCATATCTTCCATAGTGCACTGAGCAAATATGGAAGGTATTAAAGCACAAAACATAAATATTATCTTCGACATTTCGTGTGAGTTTGTTGAAGTAGTTAAAATAACTGATTTGAAAACAACATCTTATCGGAATGACCCTATTTGTAGATAAAGCTGAGGTTGCAACCGAGATTGCTTAAGCATGAGATAAAGATTTTAAATGCAACTGTTATGACATCATTGTAATTGTTACTTTAAGCTTTTGATATAACTTAGTCCATTCAAAAGGTTCAAAAAATTTTTTTCTAGTAAAAAGTCGATTTGAAAGAACTAAGAAGAATAAAATAATTTTAAATTTTGTAACCGGAGCTCTTAGGGTCAGTACACATAGAGACGCGACGCGGCGGGAAGATGCTTGAAGGGGCCAGTGGTTTCGCATCGCGCAGCGCGCTGCTGCGAGATGTATCGCGACGTCGCGAGACGCATCGCGACGTCTTGATCGTAGCGCAGCTCTTGCACGCTGCGCCCACCGACGAAGCACTGCTGCGTCGTGCTGCGTCACGCTACGCTACGAGACATCTCGAGCGTAGCGTGGTAAAGCGGTAAGCGCGGGGCATTTACGAATTATCTCAATAAAATGAGAATCTTTTCCTGTAGTGAATAAATTCATATTTCGTATCACTATCTTTAAAAGTGCGTACTGCGTCGCGTCGCGTGTATCTCAGTGTTAACTGGCCCTTATTCTTCTATATATATTATTATTAATTATATATATTTACCAACAAATTAAATTAAATTAAGATAGTAGGAAATAACCGTAAGACAACAAAAATAAATTGACTGTATAGTGCCGATGTAAAAATATTTTTCTACGTGGTAGAGCCATGCTGCAGTTATATTAGTAGTATAGTTGTAGCACGAATGGGTCGGCTCGACCGGGGAAGGACCACGCTCTCACAGAATACCAGCGTGAAATAGTAGCTTAATGCTGCTGTGTTTCGTATGGTGAGTGTAGAGAACCGGAGACCCTTTTTGCTGGAAACGAGGCATTCTCTAGTCCTCACGGGTGACAACGCATCTGCATTTTGAATTGCATACGAGGATGGATGTAGATGTGTATGGGCCGCAGCAACCACTTACCATCAGGTGGACTGTGTGCTCGTTTGTCACCCTGTCCTATAAAAAAATCCACTATGTCCCGTGGGTGCCGCAAGAGGCGATAGAGGGAAACAAACCATGAGATGGGCAACAGCGTCATTCAAAAAAATAAATAAAAAAAACTGTAGTTGCTATTGGCAACCACAGTTTATTTTTACTTTTGCCGTCTGCCTGCTTGGCAAATATAGTAAAATCACCCCTATGATGCAATCCGTAGGGGAGGCCTATGTTCAGCTGGGAACTTTTGATAGGCCAGGATGATTTTGATGGATGTGGGGGGGGGGGGGGGGTTCTTTTTTTCTTTTTTTTTGTGTGCTTTTGTTTTTAGCACCAACTTTACAATATATAATAATGTTATTCTTATTAATTTGTTGAAAACAGCTATCACTTTCTACTGATAGTTTAACTTTAAGCCGATTTCAACGAAGACGTTTTTAATTCGACCATTACATTTTGTACCTGTGTACGTTGCTCAATATTTGAGACCAACAAAAGGAATCAATTTTCATGTAATAGCCATGAGCTTAGAAATGAGTGATATCCGCCATAGAACCAGACTGACCAACATGACCCAAAGGATTAGTAAGCTGAAGTGAAAAAAGGTTCTCGAGTGGCAGCTTTATACCCGTAGGCGAAGTGTAGGGTGACCGCCAACTAGATGGGGTGACGATCTGATAAGACGTGCTGGAAATCGTTGGGTGCAGGTGGCTCAGGACTGTTTTGTGGCATTCCTTGATGGAGGTCTATGTTCAGCAGTTGACTTATTAAGTACTGTAATGATGAATAATGATGATGATGATTTTCATGATTATTTTTAGATAAATATAGGAGAATAAATTAAAATAAATAATAATTTAAAAGTAAATAAAAAGATCATTAAAAAATAATAGGAATAAGAAATACGTTTTTGTACGTGGTAGAGCCTCGCTGCAGCTATATAATGGCTGTATTATGAATGGATCGGCTCGAGCGAGGTGGGACCACACTCTCACAGAATACCACCATGCATAGTAACTTCATGCTACTCTGTTTCGTATGGTGAGTCTAAAGAAACGCAGACCCCTTTTTATTAGAAACGAGGCGTTCCATTTTAGTCCTCAGGGATAAGAACGCATGCATTTTGATTATTAATGGAGGTTAGTTACTCGTAGATGTCTGTACACTGTACACTGACCAATCAGGTGGTGTGCTCGTTTGTCACCTATGTACTATACAAAAAAAAAAATTAAGAAATCGGGAGTTAATTAATAGCGTCAAAACATTAAAAAAATTTATATAGAAGAGGGGGCAAATGAGCATGCGGCTCACCTGATGGTAAGTGACTACTGCCGCCTATGAACCGCAACACCAGGGGAATTGCAGGCGCGTTTATTTTATTTAAATGCTCTTAAAAGAAGAAAATAAACTTTAAATTAATTAAAATCCCTCAATTTATTACATTACATAATTTGTGTGATACAAAATTTTTTTAGCAATATTTATATTTTTTTAATATTATTTTGTAAAAAGCAGAAAGTTTACTATTTTGTATTTTTGTAAAAAGCATTATTTTTTATTAGAATTATTTATATCAATATAAAGTTAATAATGTGTTTTTGTTTATATACAAAGATAAATCTTGCAATTGAATTTTAAACCACGCAACAGATTTGTCTAAAATTTGCAAGCAGTTAGAGTGCTGATGACGAAGCAATATCATGCATTTAAGTATTTCACTTATTTCACGTAGTATTTATTCGGTTAGAGCAATTGTTCACTTTTGTTACCCCTTGTAAGGGACTGAATCTCCTTAATACAGGCTATTTTATAGTTTATCAAGGCGAACATAACGTTGCCCTCACTAGTATATTTACCAAATTTCATTGCTATCTCTTGTAAGATTTTTTTCTGTATGTACTCCAAGTTTAAAGTTTAATAAATATTATAAAATGTTATAAATATTATAAAATATTTTAATTGGTTTGTTTAAATATAATTACAAAAAATACTTACTAAATATTCAAAAGTCAACAAATGAAATGAAATGAAAATTATAAACTGTGTCTTAAATACTGTTCTATTCTGTTTATTCGTTTCTTTTTAATTTTATTGAAGTTATTGCTACTTGCGTGTTATGTTTTAAATATTGGTGTGCATTTTACTTAAAATTGTATAATAATTAATACTTTTATGTTCAGTTTTTGTCAAATTTTTATTGGCATCCACGGAAAATCAGCGTCGAAGTACTTTATCGGTACCAAGACTGTGCTGAGTTGAGTAGCTTTTTAGTAACCATTTACTGAAATTTATAATATGTTATGCATTTTATTGTAAATCAATTGCTATTATGTGTTATTAAATAAACTTATTTTCCTCTTATTCATTCTTTTTATTTTTGTCAAAATGGCTGCCGCTCCGAGGTGAAAAAAAAATTCTTTACAAACTGAATGATAATAGAATGTCAAATGAAAGGGTTTTTCAAGCTGTGCGTCTCAATACTCTTTAATTTCGCGTAATACTTATTAAGATGGCGGACGACGAAAGATATTAAAATATATTTTTTTATATTAAGTACCTATATCTCATTCTGTTTATGCTTTCGAACAAATAAAATAAAAAAGAATAAATGACACATTGACAGTGTCTTATAAAGTCAGTACGTGTTACCGGTAATGACATATGCATCCGAGACGTGGTCCTTTACTGCTGGCCTTGTGAGAAAGCTCAAGTTCGAAGATGGTCTATGCGCGGGGTTTTTCTGCGTGATAGACTTAGAAGTGAGGATATATGCAGCATAACCAGGGTAACCGACGTAGCCCAACGTAAACTAAAGTGGCAATAACAATAATAATAATAATAACTTAGGCATGTCATCTCCGGTTGTTCGGCGCTTTCTAACTCTGAGTAATTGCACCGGCACAACCTAGTAGCCAGAATTCTACACCAGGAGCTCGCTCTGAAATACGGTTTCGTGGATCGGAAATTGCCGTATTACAAGTACTTGCCGGAAGCCGTGCTCGAAAATGATCGCGCCAGGCTCTACTGGGACCGGACCATCATCACAGACAGGACTATTCTTACGAATAAGCCTGACATTGTGCTGATGGACCGGACGCAGTCAAGGATATTTTTGGTCGACATTACCATTCGGTATGACGAGAAATTCGTGAAAGCCGAAACAGATAAACGAACAAAATATCTGGCCCTGGCTCATGAGGTGACTGACATGTGGGGTGGTCTGCCGACTGAAATTATTCCTGTAGTCGTTTCCGCAACTCAACTGAGGAGGCTGGGACTCCGTGACGGACTGCTCCAGGCTCAAATGCAGAAGGTGGTGCTCCTCGATACCGCCCGCATCGTCCGCCGGTTTCTCTCCCTTTCCCCCTAACCCTCGGCCGTTTGGTCTCCCCTGCCGAGGGCCTCCATCTCGTTGGGCTTTTATATATTTATATATTATTTATTTATTTGTGCTGGTATATGAAATATATATTTATATATATTTATCATTTCCTTTTATATATTTATTCAGCCCAACCAGATGAGAATACACTACTAATACCACAATAATAATAAAAATATTTATAATAATATTTATTAATATATTATTATAAATTTTTAATAATATAAATTATTATAAAAATATTATTAAAAATATTATGTAGTATAATAATATTTATTAAAGATCCTACAATAGCAGATGATAAATGTCGAAAACGTCATAAACAGCCCGAGACCGTTCAGCATATTACAGGAGCTTGCCCAACACTCACGCAGACAGATTACACACACAGACACAACCAGATAGTAAATGTAATACTACCAAAAATTAGCAATCAAACACACATACGTCATATTACAAATACACACCAACGGCCGTACCTGAAAAT